GAGGAGTGTTTTTTTTTTATTTTTTGTGGATACGAGGGTACAATCATGTCATCTGCAAACAGAGATGATTTCAGTTCTTCTTTTGCTATTGGAATGCCTTTTATTTCCTTCTCTTGTCTGATCACATTGGCTAGGACTTCCAGTACTATATTGAATAGGAGCAGAGAAAGTGGGCAGTTTTGTCTTGTATCAGTTTTTAGTGGAAAAGCTTTAAGCTTTTTCCCATTCAGTATAATGTTAGCTATAAGTTTTTCATAGATGGCTTTTATTATTATTTTACTGAGTGTCTTAATCATGAAAGGATGTTGTATTTAGTCAAATGCTTTTTCCACATCAATTGAAATGATCATATGGTTTTTATCTTTCTTTCTGTTAATGTGGTGTATTGCATTTATGGTCTTGCATATGTTGAACCACCCTTACATTCCTGGAATAAAGCCCATCTGGTCATGATGAATCTTTTTTATATGCTGTTGAATACAGTTAACTAGTATCTTGTTGAGAATTTTTGCATCTATATTCATCAGAGATATAGGTCTGTAGTTTTCCTTTTTTTTTTTTTTTTTTTTTCATATTTTTATCCATTTTGGGAATGAGGGTAATGGAGCCTTAATAGAATGAAGCCTTTGGAAGGGTTCCTTTCTTTTGGGTCTCTAGAAATAGCGTGAGTAGGATGGGGGTTACTTCTTCAAAAGTTTTGTAAAATTCAGCAGTGAAGCCATCAGGACCTGGACTTTTCTTTCTTGGGAAGTTATTTATTACTGATTTAATCTCATTGCTTATTATAGGTCTATTTCAGGCTATTGAGTCAATCTTGGTAGATTAGACGTCTCCAGGAATTTGTCCATCTCATCCAGGTTTTCTTATTTGTTGGCATATAGTCACTCATAGTATCCTCTAATGATGCTTTGTATTTCTGTTATGTTGGTTGTAATGTTGCCTGATCCATGGTGAATTTTATGTACCTGGTTCCTTTCTCTCTTCTTCTTAATTAGTCCAGCTAAGGGTGTGTCAATCTGGTTTATGTTTTCAAAGAATCAGCATTTGCTTTATTTTCTGTATAATTTGCTTATTTTCTATTTCATTTATTTCTGCTTGAATCTTTATTATTTCTTTTCTCCTGGCATTTTTTGGCTTTTTTTGTTGTCGCTTTTCCATTTCTCTAAGGCATGATGTTAGGTTGTCCTTTTGCCACTTTTCCATCTTTTTCTTGTGTGCATTAATTGCTATGAACTTCCTTCTTATGACTGCTTTTGCCATATCCCATAAATTATGGAAACTTGTGTACTCATTA